CGTTCTGTGATTTTTCTGAAATGACAGGTGATTTGCAATAATGTGAGTTGAAAACTCGCAGCAAAATCTTATTGTAGCACAGAGCGATTGTCGAATTGTTTTGTGAAGTAAATCTAAGCTGTTGGCAACTATACAGTATGACTCATATAATGTATCGCTACACATTTTTACCAAAAACGGCTATGCAGGGAGAAAAATAGTTGATTCTAGTAGTAGAAACGAGGTGCATGATAAAGCGTGAGCGTTCACTAATGCTGGTTACCTGATGACTATTTGCAGAGATCAATGCTCGAATTATCTTTGGAAGAGCCCGAGCGACCACAGCCCAAACCTCGACGAAAGACGCTGAAAAGTGCTTGTGAAACAGTGAAACACGCTGAAGCGCATCCTATCTCCATTGAGACTGCTCGCAACTCTCCGCTCAACTACAGAAGAAAAATTAGTGAGCAAATTTTTTATTTTACAAGAAGCAGAAGTAAACTAAAGAATGTATCATAGATCTTACATGATTTGGCTGTTTTAGCCAAATCCTCACCGAATCTTTCCGCTCCATCCGTAGCTGCTTTGAAGAGACGAGTCCATTCGTTACGAGCTGCCACTCCGGTTCCACAAACAGAGGTAGGATCCAAATCAATCAGTGATTTTGTCATTATCTCAGAAACATGCCATAGTTCGCTAAGACCTTCGTGACGTCTAGTCTTTCGGGCCAGTTTGCTTTTTATTTTCTTTTTGCGAAAAACTTGCAACAAAGGCACTAGCTTTGATATCCAGAAAGGCTCTGTCTGATCTTGCTTCACAACCTATATAAGTTCCTCTAAGCCAAGCAGATTTGTCAGATATTAGGCCTTGGGCATACCTGACGCGATTTCAGTCGCCACGCGATTTGGCAATACTTAAATCGCTCATAATACATCGTAAGGGATTTTTTTGTGTGCGAAAAATAGGGCAATTTTTTCGACGAAAGTTATAGGTGTGAGCTAAAGGTGAGGTTAAAGCTGTGCATTTCGGGTCTGTCAGTGTTGAATTTGAAGACATCTGGCAAATTGCCAGATCGC